AAAAAAAAGACTGAGCTGGCTGGTATGAGTTCATGTTTAGGACTGCGCAATGCCAACATGTAAGGTCAAAAACCTGTCACGCTGGTTTGGTGCTTATGGTGCTCGACATGCTGATCCGCAGGTTGCGGGTTGGAATCCCGGCCGCGGCAGCCACACTTTCGATGGAGGCGAAAATGCTTGAGGGCCGTGTGCTCTGATTTGGGTGCACGTTAACGAACCCTAGGTGGTCGATATTTCCGTAGCCCTCCACTACGGCGTCTCTCATAATCATATGGTGGTTTTGGAACGTTGAACACCAGCAACAGCACTAATAATAAAAGCACGAAAAGGGCAAAGGACGGAAAAAGTGCACATGTCCATGTGCACGTCTTTAGTTTTTTGTCCTTTTTGTGAGCACTGAACAGTCCTAAACACGAATGAAATGAGGCAACATGGAATTGCAAATGACTTCGATGAAAGGTCAGACTGCCATATCGGAAACGACTGATCACCAACAAGAACAAGATTGAGAGGACATCAGTTATTAAATAACTGACTGTACAAACACGCATATGACGGGCGCAGTTTTTTTGCACGCAATGCCCCCGCCGCCACCGAAATGTAACAACTGGTATTAAGCTTGGCTTTGAAATTGCAACGACTCGCGAACTGGCTTTGGCACCATGAATTTGCCCAATGTCACCCCGCTGCACAATATCATGGACTTACCAGAATAGAGCATGCGCAAGTTTTGCCGGGATCAAGAATGGGCTCCCCTTCATAAAATGAGTGGTTTTTTTACACCAACTTAGATGAAGTTTATTGTTGTGTAATCGGAATAATGGGCACACAAAATACCCTCGCGTATCTGTAGCACACTCGCTGGTTGGTGCTATAACGACGGGTGTAACAAATCGAATCTCAATCGCGATGGATAAATTTGCGCGCAGACCTAGTGGCATCCGTTACTAGTCCTGATGTTTGTCTTTTTCGTGAACTCATTTAACGTTTTGGGGATGGTAAGCTTTCACGAACGTTCTGTAGGTCCTTCATACCCACCCTCTGATATCTCCGCTTTTGCTATTACCTTTTCGCATGACTGTGATGTACGAGTGGTGCTCTATACATTTCTGGTTGTGTTCACAAGGAGTTCATAAATTACCTATAGGAAGGAAGAAATCCGGCACTTATCAACCGCTCATTGCGCTGCTCTGGCTTCACGGTCATGTAAAATACGGATGTCACACACACACACACACACACAAAAAAAGACTTGCACAAGTCATCGTTGAACGGAACAAAGAAAAGAGTAAATTTAAGGGTTCGTTTTCTTTGTTAGGTTCAATAGTGATACGGGACTTTCGTTGAAGTGGGGTAGAGGAAAAAGAAGTGAATCTATCTCTCACCCGTAACAATAGTAATGAGAATTAACGGATTAACGCTCACGTATGCGAATAATATTCTGCTGTGACAATGCACGAATATAAGCACGCACTGATATCCCAAGGGCATCCGCACTGCGCTACGCTTCCACCAAAGTTCGATAGTGGCAGCATGTTTCAAACATGTGTACGTCACTTCTGTTCGGCTACTCTCTCCGGCGGGGCAATTCTAAGAAAATGTTTTGTTGGAATCGCCTTACAGAATCATATCCACGAGCTACGCATGAAAGCGTCCCTGTAAACTTTATCCGGCAAGCTCGTATACCTTGACGCGGCTTCGTAGAGTGGTATCCTACCATTTATACACTCGTAAAACTTTGATCTACTCATTTTAACGTGCTTGCGTTCGCACCAGCATAGTCATGAGAAAGGCATGCGCAACTAGTACGCTATTCAGCATTTAAGTAGGAGTCGTTACCGGCACATTTATTCATGCCTCCAGAATTTACTACTTCATCACTTCCCTGTGTTCATGTGCCGGGATGCCTCCTTCCAGTGGCGAAGCCAGAAATGGTGGAGAAGGGGGTTAACCATAATGTATCTATGCACAAGCATGAGTGTATAATACACATGCAAAACTGAAAAAAAAAAGGTGGGGGTTGGGACTTCTTGATACATGAATGCCTCATTCGTGTCCTATGTGCAACTTGAGTGTGGACGTGAAGTAGCCGATAAATTGAATTGAATTTCAGGCACTGTTTGCGTCGCACAAAAGAGGCAGAGTAACAACCACGCGGTACATTATCTCAGCCACTGTAAAAATCGGCGTGCAACTGTTCGAAATATTCACATCAATAACCATTGCGAAAGCTTTCGCTTTACCTAAACGAAAGCAGAGAAAAGGACTGCGAGCGTATTATCTCCGACGTTTGCCCCCCTCCCCCCTTGCCTCCAATGAAATACGTAACAAAGAGACCAGCTGACTTCACTCACTTATAAAACCACTATAACATGCTCAAATGTGAAGAAGTTTAGCAACGTCACAGTCTTGAGAAAAACCATCAGATTTATGAATAAATTACGTTGTCGAATAGCTGACCAATCGCGCAGTCACGCCGAAACGATTAGGATAAAAACTGAGGACTCATGTTTGCGATACCAGTGAAAGTTTATTAAAACCGTACAGAAGTTTAGTTAACCTGGTAAAATTTGGCGCCAAATTATAACGAAAAACCTTAAACGTGCACAGAAAGCGAGCTTCTCTGTTTAACTCGCGCGCATTAAAAGAAAGCACAACTACAAAGTGCTGTTCTTTTTTAAAAGTGATCCCCCCCCCCCCCCCGTCCATTCACAGGATGTCATGCTGGGGTTAGAGTTCCTAAAGCTACTCATAAAATATTAAGCTAACATGTGCATGCGAGAAACGCTACGCGAATCAACCCTTTGTTTTATTCAGAGTGCTAGCAAGCGCTCCGACCCAGTGGACACGCTAATGCGAGTCTCCGACGCGCTCTTTCAGAAACGGCCACTCCGATCACTCACGAGCAAAGCAACAGCTCGGCTCGGCAATTGATTCGAGGGATGGACAAGCACACCCTACCTGGCGACGACGAAACGGTCGATTCCAACTTCGAGAGCGTGGGCCGCGCCGCGGATATCCAATGTGACGAGGCTGGCGTCATCGTTCGACAAAGACGCGTTCACCGAAGCCGGGCACATGCCCATTCAACACCGCTTTCCGCAGGAGGAAAAAGCATCGCCTCCACATGACGGACCACAACTCTTCGATAGCTCTGGTTTAGGGCTTCTCTGCTAGGCACGCCGCATCTCGGTGAAACAAGGCGCGCGCACGAAGTCTGCGAGCTGGCGTCGCTTTGACAACTGGCTTCCCCGCGTGGAAACACCTGTCGCGGGCGCTTGGGCTGGGGTCATGTGACTCGATTCGTGGATCGCCATTGGTCCTCGGCGATTAAAGGGAGGACTGCGGGTGAGTTCGCGGAGCGCATTTTGCCCGGCTTTTGCTATCATTGCTGCACGGTATGGCACGTGCTCGTGCACGCACGCGATTTAGGGGGGAGGGGGGGGGAAGGTTTTTGAACCGAAGTGCCGGGAGGGAGCTTTGAAACCAAAGTTGCCGGGGAGGCTTTGCGGAACGAGGGGCTCGCAGCTCATGCGCATGCAGATTCGCGCTCTTTATGAGATCTGTGTTTTGCTTGAGTTGCGAGGCGCGAAACGGGGGGACCGGTGAATAAATGACTCCGGTGTACCCGTTTGTTTCGGCGAGTCTTCAGGACTCGTGGTGTGAAAGCCATGGTTAACAACGTTTGCGATCTTTAGAGTGAGATGCTGATAATCGATATGGAGACGCGCGCCATGTCATTTGACATCTTTCTTCTTTGTCTCCTTTTGTTTCTCGGGCGAAAGGCTCTTAAATAAAATGTTCCACGTGATCTGAATGTTCAGTTATCGGTTCAGTGTATGATTCGTATGTTTGCAATAACCAGGAAATGTAGCCCATCCATGGCACCTTTAAAATATCTCATCCAAGGAATGCATTGATATTACTTTTTTTTTTTCTGAAGACATGTATTATTAGAACCAGGCATACATTTATATATTACACCTTTACACACAGACGGAGAAAGTTGCGGGTGTTCGCTCCGTATGTGTTCAAAAATGTTGTCAAAAAAAAAAAAAAGTATATGTGAGCGCTGGCGTCTCCGCTTGAAGAAAGAAGAACGTTAGTTCTTGCAATCATGCAACAAGAAATTTTACTTGCCCTCATCTCGAAATCGTAAGAAGTCGCGACAGCAGCAAAACGAGGCCTCGCGTTATCTTACATTCACGTTGCTGTTGGTGTGCCTGTATGCCAGTTCTTGTACCAGGGCCATAAAGCCTGTTTGATATATTTGAAAACGTTACGATTCCTTCGAATGCGTTCATTTAAAGCTCAGTACGAGCACATTTGCTCTCGCACATTGCACAAGTACCTCGCTATATATATATACTTGTACACGGGCTTATACCACGTAGTATGAATTCGAATTTATAGGCCGTGTATACTTAAGAGCTAAGACAGGGTGCCGAGATGAATTCTAGCGGGAAAGAACTCCATTACAACTCAATTCCGTGTATACTGAAATGTGCAACATGTTAACAAAACAAAAAAAGAAAACAGCAGCTTGAATTCTCTGTTAACTGTTCCTGAAGATCACAAAAGTACATGCACGAAAGAGACAAAAAAAATGCAAGCTGTAGTAAACATATTCAAATTTCGCGAACGTTAAATTTTTACTAGCGTTAACAAAACGCTGCGTTTTGAACATTTTTGCTCAAAAGCACGCTGTGGCAGCGGTGGGATTCGAACCCACGCCTCCTGAGAGACTGGTGCCTAAAACCAGCGCCTTAGACCACTCGGCCACGCTACCGACGGTCGTGTAGGCGCGCTTTACGGCAATCAGGAGCATAGCAAAAAGCGCGAGCCTTTTCTTAATTTTTTATTGTATAAAAATTGTACTTAGATCTACATAATATTTGTGCATAAAGAGAAAACACTTTCTCCAGTTCTATTTTTTATAAACACTGACGGCATTCAACCAGACACTGCCGTTTCTTTGACATCAAATATGGTCGCCGGTTGTTTACGTCGTCCACGTGAGATTCCGCCGGTGTTTGCTAAGCGCCCGTGAGAAAAGTTGGAACTGTGATCATTCCATGAAGTTAACTCGTGGAAAGCGCGACGATGTCCCTGTCAGAAAACAGGAAAAAGATGTTTCAATATTCGCTCTCTCAGATAGAAACCTGCATCGAAAGCGGTACATTCGGCAGGGCGCTCGCACATTTCTGCGTCGTCTTCAAGCTTCAGCCGTCTACGAAGAACGACCTCAAGGAGGCATTCCTGCTCGCAGTTGGTGAGATCATCACAATCGACTCAGTCGTCACGCGAAGTTGTAGGCAGCCGAGTTGCTTTACAGAGCCGCTGTTCTGTGTCTTATCGTACTTTCCCAGGTAAACACACCGAAAAATTGGAAGCCGAACAGAGGTGGACCGAACTGTTCGATTGCTACGAGGAGCTACTGAAAGCCTACTACTCGTGTGAAGAACTACACCACTCGCTGGGAGCACTCTTGTTGAGGTGAGCGATCTCTAGATTCATTGGTGATCTCACTTGGACGGCACATCGTTAATTCGTCCTCGACTCTGACGGTGTTCGTCTCTCGTCTTGTTACCTTGTTTTGAAGGTTGATTGAAGAAATACAGCATCTAATTTTTCCTGTGTGAAATCTGTGCCTGTGTTTCATTTAGTTCATTCTTGCGACAGATTGAAGAATATGATATATACATAGATAGTGATTGTTCAAGAAGAATGAGGCACTTATTTCTGTCTTCCAGATTGGGGACACGGCTCAGTGCCACTGAAGACTACACAAGAGTAACACCCTTTTATTTGTGTGTTTGTTGGGCGAGATATTCATTGTCGCGAAGAATTTTGAGTCGCTCGGGCTTACTGCAGAAATGGTGCCAGCAAAAAGGCAGAGTGATGATTTTGTTTCATACAAAGCAGTGAATCGTGTGTCATTTTACTTTAACTATCGTGAAGCCCACTATGAAAGCATCCAGCCTTCTCGAAAGCTTTGTGATGTGGCATCTTTAACAGCACCAACATGCCTTCTAAAGTAAAATCGGTGTACATTTGGGTTTCCCTCTACCACTCATGCGTTGAATGCTGCTTTTTTCAGAAATTCCATTAGGATGAAAAGCTAGCAGAGCTAACGTAAATCATGCTGGTAGGGCAAGATGACTGGATGGAGAAAAGCTGAATACAACCATTTACGTTTAATTTTGCTGCAATTTCATGCAACATATTTGTTATGAGCGTAATAGAAGCAGGTTGGTTTTAAATTTTAAAGTCTTTTGACAAGTTATTCAAAAGATTGAGGCAAACATTTATCACAAAGAAGCTGCTTTTCTCAGGATCGCAAATGGAGCATTCTAATGTGCCGGGTGATGCTTTTGAGCTCACTGGAAGCAGTGCCGAATTATGTGATGGTCCGATTCAGGTTCAAAAGAGGTAACATCTAAGTTATGTGTACATCAGTGGTATCGTATGCAGCTCAAAATGAATGGTGTGATTATTTTAATGATAATAACAATTTTTTGGGTCTAACATCTCAAAACCACCGTATCATTGTGATAGACCTCATAGTGAAAGGCTCTAGAAATTTCCATGACCTGTGGTTATTTTATGTGCACCTAAATATACACGGCCCTCAAGCATTTTCACCTTCATAGAAAATGTGGCCACCAAGGCCAGGATTGAATCCCGTGAGCTTTGGGTCAGCATCTGAGCACCATCACCACTAGACCACCGTGGCGTGTAGGGTCGCCATTCTGCAACTAACCAGGAAATGTGCCCATGCCTTACCCTACCCTGAAGGCACTCAACTGCACATTTTGTTTTCACCACTGATTTAAACAAATGACTCTTGCAGGCACGGCCACATAAAAGCAGCAGCATGCAGCATACGGAAGGCGCTGGAGATCAACCCAAACTTCACAGCAGCTCGTCAGAGCCTAGATGGGCTGAGGACGCTGCTTGTGGAACGCTGGCACTTCAGGATGCTGAACGACATATCAAGAAATGAAGCTTTTCACGATGCCATCACAGCTGCTGTCCAGAGCGGTCACAAGCGAGTGCTCGATATTGGAGCAGGAACTGGGCTGTTGAGGTTTGTGAACACTTCAAATGCATCAAGCATTACCGCTGTCTCTGTTGCTGAATTTTAAAAGTATTTGTCATTTTTGAAGGGATACTGATAGCTGATATAGAGTCGACATGGTTTGTTTTAATATCATACCAGGAAACTCGTAGTGCTTGTTTCATGCTAAGGAAACGCTTAGCTTGGAAAAAAAATTATATTTTAGTAGTCCATATGTTATTAGCTCGAAACAAGCTGCTCACTTTTCACAATAGCTGTGTGAGGGAGCGTGTAACATGCCTGTTCTATGCTGCCCGGCAGCAAGGGCTGCGGCACAGAAAAGCACAGCCCACTGAAAATGAGACTTGTGTTACTTCAATAGTAAAGCCCACTTCAATTACAGTGAAGGCTGGTATTAGATTACAACAGCAGCGATTTTAGTGCTGTAGTTGTCCGCCGCTGTCGACCGTAACTGCGATAGCGGGAAATGAAAAAAAGAATCCAGGATTGCTTGGGATTTGAACCGAGACCCTCGTCATGGCATTCGGGCATTCCACCTCAGAGCCACACTGGTTCTTGAAATTGAGCTGCAAAAACAGTGTATGCAAGTTTTTTGGACCAATTCAATTTCAAAGCTCCACTTTCAAGCTGGCAGATGCGGCGGGCTTGTGAACTTACAATGCTACTGTTTCATCTTGCTTCACTTGCTGTAGCCTCTGCAGTTAGCTCTAGCAATGCACTGTTGCTCCGAATTGGGCATTGCCGCAGCTAATCATGGAAGCCACACTCCCGCCACCAGTATATCTATAAGTTCGTCATTGGCCCCTTTTCTTTATGACATATTTTTTATCTGTTATTGACAATCGCATTTCATCTCGCAATTTCAAGCAAATAGTGACCAGAAATTCGTTAACGATTTGTCGTTTTCCACCCCTTGGGAGCTTTTGAAAGTGGTTGTACTAAACAGCAACTGAAGTAGTCTATCATGCAACATTCATCACGAATCAATTGACTGAATGCCAATGTACTGTTGTGTATGAGATACCGCTGACATGTGGAAAAACTAAATATAGGCCGAGCAAGACAGCATGCTTCCGATGTTAGGAATGGCTGTACACTGCAAACAATGTAAGTGCAGTCCTCTGTTTTATAAAACACAATTTTTTAAAAACGCAAGGATGAAGACTGAAAGAGAGATTATAGAAGCATTTTCAATCAGGAAAGCCATGGAGCAATGTATCAGTACACCATAACTTCTCCTATTCGAAAGAGAGTATTCTTTTCTCAGTTAAGAATATTTTTTCATGATCACACATGCATTGTTGTGAGTGAGCACTGTTCTTGCACTCTGTATAAAAGCGGTCATAGCACCTTCAATAAATTCAGCTGACAATCAGCGCCCTTTTCTGTCCATTTTGTCTCTTTCCTCAGTTGTCGGGCTGCTACTACAATATAACCACAAATAGCTTAAGATTATGAATTCTTATCATACAAAACTTGAGAATATGGGAACTAGCTTCACTACAATTCGCCTAGCTGAACTTGAGGGAATTCAAGTCAGGCTGCCTTCATCAGACGTTATTTGGGTCATACATATTTGTCTAGAAAGCAGAAAGCATAATTTATTTGAGAATTGACAGCTGTCTTTCGTTTCACAACTTATTTTGGGTGACAAATCTTGGGCCCCTAACATTTTTACCTCCATATGAAATGCGACCGCTAGGCCCGTGATTAAACCGGCAACATTGAGGTCAGTGGCTGAGCATTGTGGCCACTGTACCATCGTGGCAACTAAACTCAGGTTGATGGCATGCGAATATTTGTGTGAACGGTCTGCCATGCATGCGACTTTGATGTCACTATTATAGGCCATGTTTGATTACATGTTTATGAAGCAAGATTTGTGAAATGCTTGCGTCTTGAAGCAGTCGAGGTTATTGAAAAAATTTTAAACCGCTCATTTCGGCTGCTAAAGTCGGCAAAAGTTGTGATGCGCAAGGCATGAAGCAAAATGACACTGCATTTCTGCTAGTTCTTGACACGGCCACCATGTCTACTTCAGGGACCAAGCATTTTGGGGAACTGTGAGACTCGGTTGGTTTTAGAAACGTTGATTCAGGCAACATATCGGCCAAGAAATCGTGTTAACGTATCTTGTACGGTGTGGTAGAAAATTACAATAACAATCAAGCATTGCATAAATCAACTTGCGTAATGAGTGGGTCGTTTAATGCTTCCAGCATATTGCTAATTGGCCCAGCCATAATTCTTCATTGTCATCAGCCACAGCATTGACAAAGTTCACATAATGGCTTTACAGATGTGTGGTTGCTACCTTGCTTATCCCAAAAATTGAGAAATAATGGCATAGTGAGTGCTTCCCTACTTTACATAAATAATGATAGTTTATGGTGTTGTGGTTACCTAGCCAGTGTACTTGTATTAGTTGCCTCTGGCGGGTGTACAACGGGCTTTAGGAAAACCACTATTCCAACTTTTGATGTGGTTGTGCTGTGTGGTCCGTCTGGGTGTAAAATTCGTTTTTGCAAGAATCAAACTGAAATGCTGAATAGCAATTTGATTCTGTTTTGAAATGCAGTACAATGATCTTTTCTATCCTGAGTAGTTTGAACACTAGTGATTAATGGTACTGAAGGTGTTCAGCGTCATTAAGCTCTTGTTTGAGAATGTCCCACTGGAGCCACGAATCGTGCCGTGCACCTACCCGAGTTTCTCTGTTACTAAAGTGCGTCTGTGCATAATAGTGATGCTCTAACGATTCTCAAGCATTGACCTTTCACTCTGACACAAATGGTTATTTGGTTTTAGTGTCCCTTTCAGTGGATGTCGACTGCATTGTGTAGTATACGATAAACATCACTTCGGTGAAAGCGCCTGAGATGGCTTGCCCAGCAATCTTGGCAAAACAAGCTATGCGCTCAACAAATGTCGAGCTACCACTGCTAGAATAATCAGCATAGTGACTGCCTGGTAAAAACAACTATTAATACAGTGGACTCTTATAGAATCTCAAGAGATGTTTTATTGCAATTAAGAAATAGATTGTTTAGCACAGAGACATTGCAAGCAGAACTAGCTTACAAGAACAGAGGAGGCCAGTGAGTGACAAAACGTGAAGTGTGTTTTCGAGCCTTTTAATATCTCATTTACTTTGTGCCACAATCAGCCAGTTTCGGTGAAACTAAACAGATAATTGATAGACATATAGCATCTAAATACTGACCAATGCATGATGCCCATAGCCAACTTTAAGTGTGATTTCAGTGTGAAAAATGGAGGATCAATGACAGCTAATGAGAAGGAAACGTGAACTACTACATACTGCAATGTCGCTGATGGGTATTGTAATGTGATTGATGTGGCATGTTTAGTTTTGCTTCTACTGATGCTCATGTTTTTTTAATCAGAAATTGCAAGAGTGATGGTACATTTAGACGAATGATTTTTAGCATTGTATTAATGCAGAGCTGACCAACAATGACAACGGCGCACTGTTTGAGCTGCAATTTCGCTTATTTAGTTTCTTCATTTTATTAATATTCTGCCGTGCTTAGATCATCACAAGCAATTATTCTGGCAGCAGAATATAAAAAAAGTCTTTCCAGTAGCTAGTAGTCATTGTTAGTATACTGCAAATATGAACACGCCCCACCGCGGTGGTCTAGTGGCTAAGGTACTCGGCTGCTGACACGCAGGTCGCTGGATCGAATCCCGGCTGCGGCGGCTGCATTTCTGATGGAGGCGGAAATGTTGTAGGCCCGTGAGCTCAGATTTGGGTGCACGTTAAAGAACCCCAGGTTGTCGAAATTTCCGGAGCCCTGCAGTACGGGGTCTCTCATAATCATATGGTGGTTTTGGGACGTTAAACCCCACATATCAATCAATAAATCAATGCAAATATGAACACATACTTATGCGTTAGTGGTTGCTATGACTGACCGCTTTTGTATAATCAAAGATGGGAACTTAAAGTGATTGGCTTCTTTGCATGCTCTTTAAGCTGAGTGTCCTGTCTCCAAGTGCTTTACGCCACCGTTTCTCGCAGCCTATTTGCGCTCTCTGCAGGTGCAGAAAAGGTGTACTCATGCGAGGTGTCCCCAACTTCTTGTGAAGTGGCACACAATGTATTTGATGAGAATGACTTTGGCACCAAAGCCTGCATAATTAATAAGCACTCCACTGATCTCACAATTCCTGGTGATCTTGATGAGCGGTAAGTTCTATTACAGACGCTGGCTACCTCACTTGTACCCATTAATAATGAGAACAGAAAACTATGCTAAAAAAGCATAGGGAATGTTATTAGGGGTAAATAATGCAGAGGAAGAAAAGTGGATGAAAAGATAACTTGGCGTGGGCAGGGACTAAACATTTTACCTTCAAATAACACATCTGATGCTCTCTCAACTAAGCAACCATGGTGGGTATTCCCCCGCCTGTTTTTATGGAGTATAGTATATGTGCATTTAATATGCGAGCATCAGTCAGCACCACCACTAGCTGTGACAGTGAGTGTGGAACACGCTTTTTCTGCCTGTTGGAATTAAATAGCACGTGATGCTATTACGGGCTGGCAGGTGACCAATAATTCCTCCCATACTACCTGAAAGCATGACGTTAGCCAGAACAAAACCATCACTATCATTGAAGGAACTAAGTGAAAATTTTAGGGGCTTGTTTTTCTTTGTTGGGTACATTAATCATGAGAACTAACAGACAACAATTCCAAGGGAAGTGCAGGAGATGTTAGTAGTGGTAAATGTACCGTAATTACTCGAATCTAACGCGCACCTTTTTTCCGGTTAAGCGAGTTCAAAAATCGCATGCGCGTTAGAATCGAGTACGAACAAAAAATTACGGTCAATCTATTGCCATCGCAAATCCAAATGGCCGCCCCCTACGTGCGTCGGCATGGTGCGTTGGCTATTTCTGCCTATGTGTTTACCATGTGCGGCACTTCGTACGTGTGCTGAGGAGTTCGTCATCTAGTAGTGCATTAGCATCGACGACGTGAAAGGGCCGACTCCAAAAACTCAAGTGGCACCACGATGCCGCTTTTAAAAGAAAAGTCATCGCGTGTGCAGAAACGGACGGAAGTCGGGCCGCATCGCGGTCGTTCCCGAAACGTGCGTGCGGGACCGGCGGAAACAAAAGCAGAGAAGATTGTCGACAGCAAAGCTTCACGCAAAGGCTTCAGTGAACCACAGCAGGGTCGGTTTCCGCAAATTAAAGAGCTGCTCCGCGAGTATGTGCTTGAGGAGCGAGCGGCACAGCGGCCCGTGACGACAGAACTGCTCCAAGTGCGGGCTATGCAATTAGTCTTAGAAAAAGTCTAATGCGGAGCCAGTTTAAAGCGAGCAGGTGCTGCTAATTAACTATATGAAGAGGAAAGGCTCTTCCCTTTGAAGGGAAACATGCATATGCGAAAACTTTTGCGGAGAAGTACGATGAAAAGCTTTACAGTTTTCAAAGGTTCGTCCTAAACTTGCGGCGCAACAACGGCTACCCTGCTTGGGCAAATCTGGAATGCCGATCAGACGCCTCTTTACTTCGACAGTGCCCGGCACCACAACTGTCGAGAAGAAGGGGGTAAAGCAAGTTCGCGTGCTGACATCGGTCCACGGTAAAACTACAGTGACGGCAATGCTCTGTTACACGTCAGATGGGCACAAGCTTCGCCCGTACCTCATATTTAGATGGAAGACAATCCCGAAAGGAATCGTTTTTTCGAGTGGTGTGATCGTGCGGGCCAGCGAAAAAAAAATGGGTGCGCGTTGCAATCGATGTCTTACGTTTTTTTTTTTTTTTCGCGGTGGAAATCGGGTGCGCGTTACAATCGAGGGCGCGGTAGAATCGAGTAAATACGGTAATGTGAATGTGAAAAAACAAAAATGGATGACTAAGTAACCCGCCGTAAGCAGGGACCAACCCTGTAACCTGTGATCTTCGAATAACGCGTCCGATGCTCTCCCAGTTAAGTAACCATGGCGGCTATCCCCCCGCCTGTTATATGGGGTATAACAGGCAGGGATAGCTTGTTTCAAGCGCTGTACGGCCTCTAGTTTTGGCAGTCTCAATTAGTGACTGCGACTAAACATCTGTCCTGTCTACCGATTGATGTTACAGACAGAAGTCTGAATAATTTTACAATGTATAAGCAGTTATCACGACTTTTATGCATCGCCTCCATAGAAGCGTATGTAAAAGATGGCAACACGTCAAAAGCGTCACTTGTCAAGCTTCGGCGTAAATGGCATTCCATGACTTTATTGCATTGCCCTCACATGCTGTTGTGGCCGGGGGGGTTCCTTCTCCTCAAATCAAGAGAAAGCAAACGCATGAGGGGGAGACAGAAAATTAGGTGCACAGATGAAATTAAGCAGTTTGCAGGTACAATTTGGCAGCAGAAAGTACGGGACTGGGTTGTTTGGTGGAACATGGAAAAGGTGGAACATGGAAAAGGCCTTTGCCCTTCAGTTGGCGTGGTCAGGCTGCTGCTGATGATGATGAAAATGGATACGTGGTGCCATGCTCATAAGACACACCTCAGTAAAGTCAACGGTTGCTCCCCAGTACATGTCCCTCATGAAGGGTTCAACTGTGATAGACATAATATTTTTTTCCCTTTCAGTGTCACACTTGTGGTTACTGAAACATTTGATGCTGGCTTGTTTGGAGAACATGTTCTGAAGACCTTGGACCATGCCTGGGAGCATCTTTTGAACAAGGAACCACTGTAAGTTATCCCTCTTTTGTGTGCTTTGTTCCACCTTATCACAGAGAAATTAAAGTATTAGAGATTAGTGGATCGTATGTGCGTAAGCAGACTTGAGTGCTAGTTGCAGTCACCGAGATTGTGTGCACTTTGTTCACATCAAGCTTGATACAACAATGTCACACTTCAGTGGAAAACATCATTATATATAGCAAATTTGTTAAAATGAGGACTGCTGTATTTCAGGAAGGAAAAAAATGACCTCGCAGGCTTTTAGAATAGTTCTTCATCTCGTTAGTAAACATACAAAAATGCAGCAGCTGAAGAAAAGAGCAGAGCAGTGGAACTGTTTGCCAAAGGTGGCTAGATAAAACTCAAAATGCAAGAAAAGTTAGTTTCTCTCACATTTCCTTGCGGATGCACATTGTAACAGTTGATTGATTGGTTTGTGGGGTTTAATGTCCCAAAACCACCATATAATTATGAGAGACACTGTAGTGGAGGGCTCCGAAATTTCGACCACCTGGGGCTCTTTAACGTACACCCAAATGTGAGCACACGGGCCTACAACATTTTTGCCTCCATCGGAAATGCTGCCGCCGCAGCTAAGATTCGATCCCGCGACCTGCGGGTCAGGAGCCGAGTACCTTAGCCACTAGACCACCGCGGCGGGGCGCACATGGTAACAGTACCAAGGAGCTTGTAGGTGCCATGACAGTGAACACGTTGGCAAAGCAGATGACTGGTGCAGCTCTATCTGACTGCAAGTGTGTGTATTAGCACACTGATCTGTTACTGTGGGAAAAAAATGGTTGGCCTTGAAACATTGTAACTGCTGCCACATAGCCCCAAGTATCCCAGGCAACTTGTATGCAGTCCATTGCTTACTATGCTCAGATTGTGCGGGTACACTGTGCCACACAGATCCGGGCATTTTTTCAAGCAGGTAGTTGAACGGGCGAATGGTAGTACCGTATTTACTCGATTCTACCGCGCCCTCGATTGTAACGCGCACCCTGGTTTCCACGATGAAAAAAAAAAGTAGACACCGATTGTAACGCGCATCGATTTTTCTCGTTGGCCCGCACGATCACACCACTCGGGAAAACGACTCCTTTTCGGGAGCGTCTTCCATTTAAATATGAGGTACGGGGGGAAGCTTGTGCCCATATGACGTGCAACAGAGCATTGCCGTCACTCTAGTTTTTTTGTGGCCCAATGTCAGCACTGCGAACTTGCTTCGCCCGTTTCTTCTTCGACGGTTGTGGTGCCAGGCATAGGCGAAGTAATGAGGCGTCTGATCGGCATTCTCGATTTGCCCAAGCAGGTAGCCGTTGTTGTGCTGCAAGTTTAGGACGAACCTCTGAAAACTGTGAAGCTTTTCTTCGCACTCCTCCAGCACCTTCTGGCATATGCCCGTTCGCCTTCGGAGGGAAAAGCCTCTCCTCTTCATAAAGTTAGTTGTCCAGCACCTGCTTGCTTCGAACTGGCTCCGTGTTAGCCCATTTTCTAAGGATGACTGCATAGCCCGCACTTGGAGCAGTTCTGTCGTCACGGGCGGCTGTGCCGCTCGCTGCTCAAGCACATACTCGGCGAGCAGCTCTTCGATTTTCGGAAACCGACCCTACTGTGGTCCACTGAAGCGTTTACACGAAGCTTTGCTGTCGACAATCTTTTGCTTTTGTTTCCGCCAGTCCCGCAAGCACGTTTCCGGAACTCCGAACGACCGCGACGCGGCCCAATTTCCGTCCGTTCCTGCACACGCGATGACTTTTCTTTTAAAAGCGGCATCGTGGTGCACTCGTCGAGTTTTTGGAGTCAGCCCTTCCATGCCGTCGATGCTAATGCACTACAAGACGACAAACTCCTCAGCACACGTACAAAGTGCCGCACAAGGGAAGCACATTGGCAGAAATGGCCGACGCGCCATGCCGACCCACGTAGGGGGCGGCCATTTTGGAAATGCCGATGGCAATAGAATGACCATATTTTTTTTCGTACTCGATTCTAACGCGCATGCGACTTATGAACTTGCTTAACCGGAAAAAAGGTGCGCGTTAGATTCGAGTAATTACGGTAGGATTCTTAGTAGTGAATTGTGTTCGCATGTTTTTCAGTGACCATCATTACATTTTCTTGCATTTTCAGTGTTTATGCACATAGATCTCACAATTAAATTGTGCTCATCTATCTGGCCTGGCCTTTGCAACCAGAAAGCACAGTGGTGTGTCGACCACCCTGTGAGTTGAGGAGTGCAGCTAATTTTTGTCTAAAAGAAACCGCTTGCATAGTGGTGTGTTCCATTCAATTTGCTCCAATGTTTATACATTTATGTAAATGTCTTTTGTTAGTGTTCCTTTACTGGACTGGTTTTTCCCTGCTGTTTCTACTGCTTATCTGGTCATATTCAGTTGACCCTATAAATGGCACCTGAAGGGACCAGGAAGATAGGTTTCGTTTAGCAAGAGATCTGTTTACTGAGAGATGAACATGGGTGCAGAACACAAACCCTAAATCAAGCATACCTGAGGCAGTTGTTTCGTTTAAACAGTAGTAGTTGCGTTTAACACATTTTTGTTTACTGAGTGTCTACTGTAGCGTCATGGTGAACTCATAATCATTAATCAGCTGGGCCTTCTAACTGATTGATTGATATGTGGGGTTTAACGTCCCAAAACCACCTTACGATTACGAGAGACACCGTAGTGGGGGGCTCCGGAAATTTCAACTACTAGGGGTTCTTTAGCGTGCACCCAAATCTGAGCACACGGGCCTACAGTAGTTTCCTCCTCCGTCAAAAATGCAGCCGCCTACAGCCGGGTTATCGATCCCGCAACCTGCGGGTCAGTAGCCGGGTGCCCTAGCCATTAGACTACCATTCATTTCGTTTTCAAATGTTCGACCTCATCTATATAATGCCAGTACTGTGTGGTATTTATGGTACTGAATTGCGTAATTGTGCGTCTCTCGCTTCATTTACTACTGTGGTGGGGCAAGCAACCACAACAGCCGGGGCTTTCCAACTAAATATATTGGATATCTTTTGTGGCATAACATGATGTTGGTTGCACAGCGAGTAGAGGAGTTCATTTAAGTTTTGCATGACAAAAAGTTATATCATGCCAGTGCATTGTATTTTGTTCACTTGACCTTGTTCTCGGTTCCATTCACCAGGGACTACATCCTTATTTGTGATGTATGAGAATATCGTTACCACGAAACTGCAACACAAAGTTACATAGATAAATCTCGAAAGCAAATCGCATATCAAATGCAGCAAATGCTTGTCAATTTGATGCTCATTAATTTAGAAAATTGGCCAATTTGGACATGTTTCCTGGTCGCAGCCAGCACGTTCATTGTTTGACGGCGTGACACTCTCATTTAATTCAGTCATGTTTAGCCACAGTTGGTTAGCTCGAACGATTTACAGAGCGAGCCGAGCGTAAAGCGCCACAAGTGCGATGCAAAAGAGCGAGAACAGTGTTCACAGACAACACAAACTACACAGTCATATCTGCACTGATGTCTTCATCAGTTGGCGACCATGATGTTGCCCGTATATTAGGCATAGAGTTTCATGCAATAATACCTAGAGGGGAATCTGGCGCTAGTGTTTACGTGGGCTCCTTCAGCGGGGCTTGTACCCCCGTGGAAAATATGGGAAGTACAGGCTTCGGATCTGCTTTGGATGGATCACGTTCTTGAGGTTCGCAGCGCTTGTTCGCTAAGTGTAAAATAAATTGATATGGAGTTACATTTGAATTAAATTTGCATTATTCTTTGTTACGCAAACGTTATTGCAAAAAGTATTTGTGGCTTTGTGGTAGAAGTGAAACCTGGACATATGTAACCATTAGGGTATGCATTGCTTTGTCACTGCATTCCAGATTTGGCATCAAGATGTAATGAATTATTCTTTACAACATTCCAAAACAAACATTCTTGTTTTACCCTTGAAAGTATGCAATATCATTTATCGAAATAAGAGCACAGTATTAAGTGAGGAACACCTAATGTTTTGTCTGCCACAATACCAGGTGCATCTGTTCAAGTGGTCTGCCCCCAACGCACCTCTCGTTTTGTTGTGAAGTCGAGTCAGAAGAGCGTGGCGATGCATGTACTTTGCGTCGCCGTCGTTTTGCAGTTGATTTCAATGAGGTTTGGCAAGACGCGCTTACAACAAACGTGAACTCGATGTAATATCCTGCACTGGCATGGGACGCTACATATATGCGCAGCGGTGAGTGGACGACGCTTCGCTTAAACTATCAAACACAACTTATACAGCTCCAGCATTGAAGTAAATTGAGAGGCCTAGCAGTTTTCAGCTTCTTTGAACAACAAAGGCGCAGCTTCAGTCCTTTGCACCCATCCCACTACCCACTCTACACGAAGAACGAAACTGAAGCTGTAGAAAAAGATCCGTAGACAGTTCACTGGCTAATGCAATCCAATCCGAAGCCTGTAATTCTCGTATTTCTCCTGAGGGTACAGGATCGTAGCGCCAGATTCCTCTCTAGGTACCTATTATTGTATGAAATTCTATGATATGGGGCTCCGGCGCTCAACAGTTTCTCTTTTAACTTGATGCGATGTATGTGCAATGTCACAGAACACAAACATGGTGGAAGCAGTTGAAAATGAAGAGCTTTCAGTCATGGTCAGCATGCTGGCATAACACTTATTCGCTACATAACGATGGACGAACTCTTTATTGGTGGCCATCCATTTTACCTAGGAAGGAACTACTGTCAAGTACGTGTGTGGTGGCTATGGTGGTGGCGGCATGCAATAACGTTTTGGGCTTACTAAGCGATTGAGTTTGGGACTGAGGTCACATTGATAACTCGCAGGATGACAAAAATTGCTGCTTTTACACTGCTTCATGCAAAATATGTACATTTTGTCCTAATTAATGGGCATTTTCTGTGTATGTTCCTAAACTTATACGCATTGTTAAGCGGTTTATTGACGGACACTCAGCGATGATTCACGACAGCGACAGTCAATGCGGGGAT